ATACACTATGTATACACTATACAAAGATATATACACGTATATACACTATATATATACACATGTATACACTATATATGCACGTAGTTATACTATATATAGTCATATATACAATATATATATATACGTATATAAACGATATATATACTCACTGTGCTGTTACACAACACGTGGCTCTTACGCTAGGGCTCTTACGCTAAGGGGCAGAGTGTCCCAGCGGTCGCTCTAAATACTACAGGGACTCTCACTACGGTCAATAACTCACTAAGCAATGGTTAAAATAGCAGTTAATGTAGCGGATAAATAGTTGTTACGGCAGAGACGTGTAGCTAACGCACATACGTGCACAACGCGCAGACGTGTAGATACGCTGCAGATACGTTAGAGATACGCTAGAGATACGTTAATATTGCTAGCCGCACACTATTATAGATTATTGTAGACTTATAGCCGCACACAATTATTAGAGATACGCTAGAGATACGTTAGATATACGCTACAGATACGCTACAGATACGTTAGAGATAAGCTAGAAATACGTTAGATACGCTACAGATACGTTAGAGATACGCTAGAGATACGCTAGAGATACGTTAGAGATACGTTAGAGATACGCTACAGATAAGGATAGGCGGATACAACATCCATCCCATGAGCTGTCCTTTACCCTGGTCCGCAGCACCGCGCCACACAGCGCCACCCAATCGAAGCAATCGGCATCTTGATTCTAGATAGATTCGTCAGACACAGCGTCCATGAATTAATTACTTTTTCTAATTAGTATATATATATTTATCCAGTTATTTTCTATACGACTATCTGTATTATATACGGCGGTTAATTAATTACTAACTCTAATTAGTATAATTAGTTTTTCCGCGTCGTCAGAAAGAGACATACATATTTATAATGTAATTATATTATGATATATATGATTGATGATATATATAAGCATATTTATGATTGTACATAGTTTTGATTGTAAATTGTTACGATTGTATGTTCTAAGAATTATAAATAGTCATGACTGTTATCGTAGTATAGTGAGTTAGGGGATATATCAGTAAGTATAGGATGTCGTCATTACGACAATAACCCTTTATGTGACGTTTTACTGAGCGTAGGTTATTTATCAGAAGTTTAGACTGTTAGTCGTTGATGTCGTAACAACTCTAGACGGCGGCGAGCTGGGATACACCCAGCAGCCCCCTTCTCCTCCTCCTCCTCCTCCTCCTCCTCCTTGCTTTTCTCTTTCTCCTCTTCTTCCTCCTCCTCCTCCTTGTTTTTCTTCTTCCTCCTCCTCCTCCTCCTTTTTTTTCTCTTCCTCC